TTCTATCTACCATTGTTATTTCACAGACATACTAAGTACTTCTGAAAAAGTACTTTTCTCTAGAATCTGGCTGTTCCGTTTCTATCGCATTTGAATAAACATTCAATAAAGCAACAACGCAATTCGTCCTCATCAGACGTAAGCGACGTGCATGTTCGAAAGTCGGATTCCGGCTACGTCGAAAGGGGACAGAAGAGACGTCAGGGTGAAGGCAGGAGGGTTGGGGGATATAAATCGATGCGCAAGCAGCTTTGCGCGAGTTGTTCTCGTTTTGCGGTCGGCCGTAGCACCTGTGCCCCGCGTCGCCCGCCATCGCTGGTGGCGGGGTAGAAAATAAATGCGAATCGATCGGCAGGCTTAATCATTCGGGCAGCCCCCCGCCTTCCCCTCTGCGTCCCTCTCGTTGATAGAGCAGCGGAAAGGCTCGGCTGCTGCGAACAAAATGTTCGCGAGAGCCTGGTACCCGAAGCCAGAGATATTGCCCTCTGAAAGGCATACATACGCCCTGCGCGACTCGATCACGGCCGCATAAAGCACTCCGGTGGCGCAACAAGAAAAATGCGCCGGCAGACGCGCTATAAAAATCCAGTCGGCGCGAATAAAGCTCTATTTCGATCCGCGATAATACGATCGCTGCTTTTAACCAATTTCCAAACGTGCCCTGCATTACCATCCCGATTTTTATCGGCGATTCGCAAGAATTCTGCTTTCGTATAATGAGACCACCAGGACGATCCAATAAATTAAGTTTGGCAATTTTTCAATTGCACTACACTGTTAAAAATGTCATGAAATTCTAATGCACTTTTAAGTTACACAAATTAAATTCAATTTTGTGACACTAAATTAAATTTATTGTATCTGCAATTGAAACATATTATATATACATGTACATGAAATTTAGTACTTTTTATAAAATTTTACGAAATTTAGGTACATTTTTTATTAAATTTTATGTAGATTTGCATGAAATTTAATATAAGTAAACATTAAATTTAAGTTAGTTGTAACTTCATTTTCATTGATGACATTAAATATCTTTAATGTACCTTCTTAAAATATTACATGTAACGGAAATTTCTTTTTTTTTTTAACGGTGTAAATTATTCGAGATAACAATAAATACTCGAGATACAATAAGTTTATAAAATTCTAACCATCTAAGAAAGAACAATACGTATAACAAAATCTGTAATAAAGAAGTAATAAAGAATAAAAAAAAAATGAATGGAAGAACAACACAATCAACTTTAAAATTTCTTTCCCTTTTTTAGCTGATTTTTTAAAAACTCGATTTTCTTCTTTAAAAAACTAGGACATTTAGAGTAACAGTAGGATGGAACGAGTATATCGTTTACATTCAAATTCACACGTGTAGTGTTTCGCAATATATTGAAGCTGCAACGCTTTCTGTATGCGCTTCGCGTATCCCCTTCCGAAGCTTCTCACCTAGCGGAAGAATGATCAAGCATGCAACCATTCAGGGATGATTGACGAGGCGTCACGGAGATATAAAAGCGTTATATGGCGTGGCACGATGCGCCATTCTAGACTAGAGCAGTGAACTTCTCCGATATGTACGTACAGGATAAGCTAGAAGTCGCTTCACGTTGAAGAAATGGCGTATCGAAAGAAATTTATCTTAATAAGGTGTAGCTCGCGAAAGAGCTGCCTGAGCGGCTCTTCTGATAGAAGAATCATTATACATAAAATTTGTTTTCAATATGCACATAGTATATTAATGAGGTCTTCAAAGAGTCTGGAAACGCTAAAATATCTCGAAAACGATCAACTCTAGTGAAAAAAGTATAAAAGCAAAGTTGTAGGATTTCAAAAAGTCTACTTAGCTGATGATAAAAGATTGACATTGGGTGAAGTCTTCAAGATCATATGAAGGTCAAATTGAATTTTTTGAACAGGAACCCCCTCTTTTTATTACATAGTCTTATAGCTTATTTCAAGAGCTTTTCAAAACACTATAATAAAATATTTTTTCATTAAGTATTTTTCAAATTCCGATCAACGGCTAAAACCTCTTGAATATCGTTCAGAATCATGTCCTAGATAACATTTGTTAAGATCAAGGGCATTGGAGGTTATTCCTCTTAATTTCATTTTTATACTAAAAATTCATTTTTGCGTAAAAATGAAAATAAGAGATATAAGCTCCATTGGCCTTGGTTTTGACAAATGTAATTCAGAACATGATTTTGAACGACATTCAAGAGGTTTTAGCCGTCGATCGGACATTTTGCGTAATGCTAATGCCGGCGTTACTGTAACTTTCAAGCCTAATAACTCGAAAAGTACTTAATGAAAAATTATTTTATTATAGTAATTTGGAAAGCTCTCGAGGTGTGCTGTAAGAATATGCAATTCAACTTGACCTTTATATGAT